TACTTATCAGTAGTCAGTTTTTGCTCACAGGACGCTGTTATTCACAGGCTGGATATTTTTAAATCTCAGTCCAGGAGTGACACGTTAGTGTTTAAAGTCGTTGGCAGCACAAACACACACTGACATGTCACTACCATCTCAGTATCACTGCAGTGCTGAGAAAGATCCATCATATCTGCTCAGTGGTGGTCCTGTAGGGTCCTCACCATTGATGAATGAGGTAAAGGGAATAACAAAGTATACAGAAACAGAGAAATAGACTGACTAGAATCTATATTTCTAGAATGACAATATGTAACTACATGCTAAGTGGACCTGATAAAATGCACATTTAGTGCAGATACAAGGTAGGACAGTGAGTGTAGCAGACCTACTCAGGACTTGTTAATGCAGACTTCTTATTGTTAAGTGAATGGCAAATACTACTGCAGATCATATCGTTTTGTAACCCTACAATGTTACAGAAAGTCTGAATATTTACATTCATGTTAAACTTGAAATGCTGCAGTAAACATAAACCAGCTTTGCTCACCTGCAAAGCCTGCTGCAGCAACACCGAGCCCCACTGCAATGAGTGTTCCTCCCTGAAAAAAGACAGACCAAAACAACCAGCGATGAAACAGGACACAAAACTACAGAAACTGTACTTCATTGTAATACTGTGATTAGATGTGCTTTGAATGTGTTCTGTAATACGTTATAGGAATATGATGTGAAGGCTGAAGGTACTGCCTGCTCTTCACTTCAAGAGGCTAGGTTAGGTAACTTCAAGCTAACGTACCAGCATGCTAGCTAACATGTGTAACCTCGCATAACAGCAGCGTTAATCATGCTACAGTATTATGAGTTCATCTGACTAACAAACAGTGCTAGGAAATCAGAGCCCCTCAGCAGTGTACACTCAGAGAGCGGATTCAGGCTCATATCCAGAGTTTAACGGATAAGACGAAATGTCCTGGAAGGTCACCGGTCGGATAACACCTGTCAGGCTGAGGCTGGTTGACTGGCTAACTTGTATTAGCTTCACAGGTTTTAGGAGCTGGTAGGGGTCACGACTTAAGAGCGTCACACAGAAACATCTACTCACAAGGCGCCTGTCGATGTCTGTTTCACTCCGCGTGTTAGATTTGGGTGCATATTCAGCATATCTTAAATCATCCACCGCCACGCCACTGCCCGGACTCGCCATGTTTCACACCAGGGAAAATCTACAGGTCCGTCAGTGGGACAAACTACATACGTGACGTCGAGACTCGCTGTCCTCGTGGTCATCCAAAACACAGTTTGTAAATGTAGTAATATTTTGATTTTTGATGTAAATTAATTTCAATAACACTAAGTGGATTTATTTACTTATAACTGACGTATAATACAGCGTGTTGCTAAGTTAATATGACACCTTCCATGATTTCCATGAGTTCTGTTCATGTCCCATTTAAAACCAATAAAGTGACCTGTTTTTTTCTGTGAAAAGTGAAGGAATCTGTACTTTAACTTAAAAGTATTACAATTAGCTTTTGAATTATCACAAAAACACATAAAATGTCTGTATCCATCATTAATATGGTGATTTTGGGCTGTCCCATCACTGAAATTGAACTTCTCTATGAAATATATTTATTAACATCTAACTGAATGTAAAAAAAAACAAAAAAAAACAAAAAAAAACAAACAACTCTCGATTAATGTAATTAATTTAACACACACAAAAAAAATCATTTATCCTGGGTCCTGCATTTTAGGCCCAACTCTGTTACCAAAACCTGTTCCTTTCTTTTTCTGTTCTTTTTCCTCAAACCTGCAAAAAAAATGAACACTTCATTTTTAAGGTATATAGAGGAAGTTGCATGTTGTTCTTTTCTGCTGAATAACCTTGAGACAAGCAAGCACTTTCTATTCATTCTATTTTCTCAGTTCACAAACATATTTGGCTGCATTAGTAAAGCTTTATCATTCAACTCTGTTACCAAAATGAACCATGCTAGCTAATTTGGTGTGAAACAAATATTTAATGGAAACATTTTGATTAAAAGAATTTTTCAACTTTCCCCTCTACTCCATATCATATACTTTATGTCTTTTTACTGCATTAATAGCAGTTTAATGTGGAATGACCTCTGTGTTAAACCCTGATACTGAGGTTTGAACCCTGTTATTCAGTCATTTGTGTTAAAAATACTCTTAAAACATTTAATTTAGTAGGTTATGTCACCACAAGTTTCAATTTGGTAACAATAGTCATTAGTTTAAATTAATAATAAAAGAAAAATTGCAGTACTTCTGTTTAGAGAGAAAGTGAAGCACTATATATATGAAACAGGAAACAAAACCAACTTGCTAGGAAAATTGTTAAAGAGCTTAGAGGCCTAAAATGAACTCTATTCACAGAAAGTGCCTTATAAAGTTACACAGGCTGAACTGCAGTCTGGTCCATATTTGGGCTGAACTAGGAAGAGATAGCATGGCCTTTAGTATCTGCAGCCCTGCTATTCATTTAGGTTAAAAGAAAAGTAAATATCTAATGTCACAGACCTTATACAAACATATAAATGTAAAACATAAAGAAAAAATGAAAGAAAAAATATGGTATGCTTTTTTCTTTATGTATAATATTATCACACACTAAAGAGGAATTCAGTAGATTTTCCAATTTTCTGCACAATTCAAAGTGGTTTGGTCTGAAATGTTCCATTCTAGAGAAGCTTACCAATGCAGAATTGTTCATAGCAGTACTAATAGGAGACATCCAAAGACTTTAATGCCACTAAGAGCTACCTCACAGAAAATGATAGAAATTCATACAAATAAGCTTCCTGAACCCCGAGACATACATGTAATTTTGAGATAAGGCCTAAAATGTATATTTTTAATACATTAATGGTGGAGAGGAACATGTAGGGCTTTGTAAGGCAAAACAGTCCCAAAAGATTTTTTTTAGGTTTTATCACTATTCTACCATTATCAACATTACATGTAAAACTGAAAAAAGATGACTTGTGTAGGTTGTTTTGGATAACAAATAAAATCTCTGGTTGCTATCATCGCCATTGTTAAGAAATCGTGACAGCTGATTTCTTTATGATGCACCTATCGTATCAAACTGCTCTCAATGACTTTGTTTACATCGTACTGACTGAACTATGCAGAAATCATAATCAAAATCAGGGGAATTTACTTTTAAGATAGTATTGTTAGTTATATACAACAGATACAATTTTCTACAATGGACATCTGAAATAAGCTACTTATGCATTTAGAAAATAACAGTAATATTTATGGCTATAGGTAATTTAATGAGTTATTGGCATTAAAACCATTAATCTGGGTCAGGACGATGGAGGCAGAGAGTTAGTGATACCTATTAAGTGAAAATAGGAAATGGGTGCATTATTAAGACAATATAACACAAGGCTGTACATAAACTGAAAAATATATACATCAACATAACACTTCCTAGAGGTTTCTGTGCTGATACTGAAAGTGGCTGAGGCCATGTGGAGACTGTAACCATAACAATGGAGCTCTCAGGTCTGCTTTGTAGTGTTAAAACCACTGGAGGAGTGTCCAAGTCAAGGCCAAGACCTGGACACATCAGGTCAGAGTCAAGACCAATATCTAGACACACTAGAGGTGAGTCCGAGTCAAGTGCCAAGATCTGGACACATTGAGTCAGAGTTAAGACAGAGATCTGGACACACTAGAGGCCAGTCCGAGTCAAGACCAAGATCTGAACACATCAAGTCAGAGTCAAAAATGAAACCAGGTTTGGCTGAGACGACTTTTTTCAAAATATGAAAACAAAAAGAATAAAGCATAAAGAAATGAAATTCATTTGTGGTTCATTGTGCTTTTATTATGAGTCTTTATACATGACACACATTAATAAATAATATTATTTTATAACATTTTATAAATTAACACATTAAAAAGAAGCTTACTGATGAATAACTGAAATAAGAGAATATCAGTAGATGTATATGGGCTACTCATCACAACACAAGTTCAACATGCACACTGTGGACTCTGGAGCAGTGGAAACATGTAATCTGAATTGATGAATTGTGTTTCACTTTCTGGCAGTCTGATGGACGAATCTGGGTTTGGTAGATGCCAGGAGATGCATAGTGCCAACAGTAAAGTTTGGTGGAGGAGGAATAATGGGCTGGGCTCCTTAGTTCCAGTGAGGGGTAATGTTAATGTTATAGCATGCAAATACATTTTAGACAATTGTATGCTTCCAATTTTGAGGCAACAGTTTGGGAAGGCCCTTTGCAGTTCCAGCATGACTGTGCCCCAGCAGACAACTCCATATTAATGGCCATGGTTTTGAAATGGGATGTCCAATAAGTTTATATAGGTGTGATGGTCAAGTGTTCATATATATTTGGCCATATAGTGTATCATGGTATCAGGCAATCAGATAATATTTCAGTTAGCATTAACAAAGCTGATGAACCCATGCTTCTTGAGTACTAGTACTCTGTGTTCTGTTGTAAGGAAACTTACTATTTATTTAGCTTTTATGGATTTTAAACTATTCCTTAAAAAAATCTGAAACCAATAATTATTAATAGCAGTTAACTGTCAGGTAGTGGGTACCATGAGTAAAATGTATAAAATAGACTTAAAAACAAACTGCTTGGCAACAAGGACACTACTGTTTTATGGGCATTATATAATGCACATAATCCTCATTATTAAATCTATCATTAAAATGTCGCTACAACTTAAAGGCAATATAATGGTATGTCATCATGCATTAATTGTCATGAGTGTTGGAGGTGAAGGAGGTGGAATTGGCAGTTTAGGCCACTCATACTGGACCCCATGGGGCCTGACAGGCTGTCGAACAGTGGCAGATTAATATTATTATTATTATTATTATTATTATTATTATTATTGCATTGTTGTCGTCATTAATGATTTTTTAAATCCCAATTACAAAACAACAGTACATTTTGCCATAACACAGGAGCACTTCCCATCACCACCACCACCCTCTGCCCTCTGAACAGAAACTTTATACCAAGCTCTCATTAAAGTGGATGTCACAGGCGAAACTGAATGAGGACACACCTCAGTTAGGCTGGCAGAAGCTCTACTCGTCCCTCTACTGATTCTGTAGTAGCGACTTAGGAAAGGACTAGCTCAGAAGTCAGTTTTATTCCTGTACATACTTGAATCACATTCAGCTCATGAATCCAAATCCCAGCGGTGACATTTGGTCTGTGCCAAAAAGAGGAATTAATTGCGAAGTGGACGACATGCAGGCAGGTGAGAGTGGAGATACCCTCAATAACGACCAAAACCCCCCAAACCCCCAGAACCCTCAGGCTCCAGAAGCTCGGACACCGACACAGTAAGTGAACACCAGAGAACTGAAATGGTCTATTTTGGTCATTGCGCTTCTAATCTTTTCATTTATTTGTGAGCTAACAGCTAACCTAACCTATATTATCCGTCGAACAAGCTAGCTACACTGTATAGACTATCTATGGATTCAGGCAAAAATATTACTCACTATAGAGAAATACTGCGTTGTACAAACCAATGTTCATAAATAGGCTACAATTACGGCTTTATGTTAATTATTTTGCATGAGTAACAAGCCATTTATCTGAAGTCTCTGTTCCTGTAACTTTCTGTTTCGTTTCAGCAGCAGCGCTCGGTGCAGGCGCTGGAGTGTAAACAAACTCGGCGCATGCGCGCTAGCCTGCTGCAAAAATTAGCCTGTGCTGCTAATCCCAGTGCTGTAGTGTAGATCACTATTTCTCCTAACTGAACTCAGGACGGAGCTGTTCTTTATGAGTGGAAACAGCTGTGTTAGAAGAGATAAGATTTAAGAAGAGCAAGATAGTTTTTTCAGTATGATGAGTTGGAGCCAGAGACGGTTGTTACGTTTACTCAGCTACATGTATGTCAAACCATGATGGATGCTTTCCTGAGTATTTTCACTGATTATGCCCTTACTTATGCTCAGTTATTGAAAAAATGAATACCCAGTTACATTTAATCATTAACATTTAGTAACTTATTCCCCTTTTATTATATTTGTTGGTTACAGCATCAATACTGCTTTGTGAAAGATCAAACTTCTGATATATGTAAAAAAAATGTGGCAACCTAATCCAAAGGAAGTGCAATATTAAGACATTATTCTCACTACTTTCTGTTATTTTCGGATTACTTGAGAAAAAAATTCAACATGACTTTAACATAACACAAAGCAAAAAGGAAAACAACACAAAATCATATTAGGTGATGTACTGTGTGCTATTTGTGTGCTATTTTACATCTATTTGAAAATTTCAATAAATATTTTGTTGTATTCAAACACTGAAACACTATGAAACCCTATTATCGTGTGTAGGGGTGGAGTGCATTATGGCAAAACACTGTATAAATGCAAAGACTACTGTAGTGTTGATTTTAACACATTTATAAAATGTTGATAAACATCAAAGAGTCTGCTGAAAAAGGGCTAAAACAAGTGAGACTCGCTCGTCTGGATTAAATGGAGCATGATCACGCCTAGTCTTAAAGTTACTTTAATGTTAAAAAACAGGTTTTTAACTCTAAATGTAGATCACTTTTCTTTCAGTTGTATATTTTCAATTTCTTACTTTAAACTGAGCAAGATTTTGACACAGTACCTATACTTTCGCTTTAGTACAGTTTCTCTGTAGTTCCACTCCTGGTGATGTAGAACCACAGAGAAAGTGGGGACATAAGCATTTTGTCTCATACAAATGGTAACTGATCTCACGTTTAGCGGAATCTAAGTGGAGCAATATGTAGAAATATTTTAAACATAAAGATGAAAACCTTGGTACAGCGTCAGTTGTGTGAGTTATCATTCTGTAGGCCAACTGGTAGTAGGTTAAATCATGTAAGCCTAAATGCCTATGCCTAAAGTTCTCCACAATACGGAGCAGCATTAGCATTCACATAGGTTTTGTATGCATCATTAAAAGAGAGAGAAAAAGAAAGAAAATCTCAAAGTCTCAAAGTCAAGGCTGCAGCGAAGGTAGGAGAGACCTTGCTTGCACTGGTAAGGAGGCTTCTCTACACTGATCAGTCACATGCAAGCGAGGTGATTTTGGTAGGCTATACCGACATGTCTCAGTTATAAGCAGTGTTTCACATTTAAATCTTACATTTAAAAACATTACATCAAAATTGACATTACATCATGAACTCTGGTGCTGCAGCGTCTTGTCATTCTTAACTATTTCTGACATTTTTTAAATGTATTGTGCTGCATCTGGTGGGCTGTGGGTGATTAAAGGTCTCGAAGGGTACTCCAGCTGAGTCCTTAAAGTTCTCAGAAATGAAAAGTGCATTTCTGCTACAAAATTAAACAACCTTCAGTGCCAATAAGTGCAGGCCTTCTCGGCTGTATCCTTGGCTTTGCAATGTGAATTCTGTACCATGAGTTGTTTCTGAGTGAAACATAATATTAGTCAGGGTCTCTTAGCTAGTAGAGCATTTTTGCTCGATAATAGGTGGGGATGATGGGAGAGGGAGGTGAAATATTATGTTGTGCATGGTGATGTAACCAAAAATCAGAAGATGTTATTATATGAGCGAATTTAATAGGAAGATGAAACACTTGTCTTTTATGACTTTAATGACTCTTGCTTAATATGACCAGGGGCATGAAATAACAAGGTAAAATCTGATTTCTGGTTGACTGTGAACTGCAATATTTAATGAAAGATTCACTGTAAATTTACAATATACAAAGCAAAGAACACACCATTTGAATGTTGCACAAGATTAAAAATCCCTATTTAAAGCAATATCTGCCATAAGTTGTATTTAACCATGTGTGAAAAGTGAATGTACATCACAGTTATAACACAACATTGAGTCGCTGACAGAAATTGGCATTATTGTAATGGTGATAATCTGATAAATAAAGGATACGTACAAAGTAAACAAATTTGACCACAGGAAAGAAGATTACTAGGAGTGCAATGTCAGAGTGGTTGTAATATAATCCTGCTAGTAATCACCTTATTTTAATAACATGTCTTTAATCTGATTACTGGGTTTTTTTGTGCAACTGTAACAGCATACAGTTACCTCTTTCTGTCCTGATTATGTAACGCTGTTATGTGCACAATAGCACTGCTACATGCACTATAATTATGCATGAGTTACTCAGTACCTAATCAGCTTTTAAAACCTGGTAAAACTCAAGTTGCTTTGGGAAAGACACTGTTCTTTTATTTGAGTATTTCACAATATTTCACATTCAGTATGGGTTTAGGATATTCTTCTCCCCTTCTCTGGTTAGAGCATAAGATATCATAGGTTGCTCAAAGAGAGGTATGCCAGCACTCTAAAGTTTGCTTTCATTTTGGATGAAAGTTTATTTAATGGTCTTAGGTATGTTGTCCATAATGGTGGTAAGATAAGATAAAATGTAGCAGTGAAAGTTCTGCTGGTTAAAGTGCCACAGGTGTTCATCTGAGGAACGCCAAGATCAGCAGTTCTGACACATAAAGTAAAGCAAAATTTAAATAAGTTAATGTAGTTGGTTTACATTGCTTTACCTTTATTCATCAGCTAGACATTATCGGGCACCTGAGCAAGCTTGGATTTAAAAGACTAGTCATAAAAACTTAGGTAGTGCGGTACATCCCCAGTGAGGATTATGTTTAAAATGTCTTCAAAGGTAAGTCTGTTACAAGGCTTTATGGTAAAATCATTTAGTAACTATGGTAACTATACACTGTTTTATGACCGTCTAGTAAAAATTCTGTGAGGGAATCAGACAGTGAACATCTGTTTAAGATATATAAGATAATGGCAGTGAATCAGCTGTGATACAGATGTGCTTTTTAGGGTGTGGATTGTAAATTTCCTTTGCCAGCAGGGTCTTTCTGGATGGGTTAATTTGTGTCATAGCTGTCTATGGTGAGGTTCGAAGGGGAGTTCCCGATGGTTGTTTGTGAAAATGTATTTGGACTTTGTTTACACTTAAATTGCTCGTGCCCCACCTTTGTTTGGGACATTCTTGGCACATGAGTTAATGGTGTTTGTTAAAATCAGGGCACGGATGGAGTGAGTAAAACTTACCTGCTGTAACTCATTATGTTTCTGCCCACTCAGCTCTGATGGATACAGCATCATACCACCGAATGAATCAAGACGGAGCAAACTGCAGAGGAGTAAGACTGCTATTGCATTTTTTCCATCTTCTTGTCGTCTGCATGTTTCTCTTCTATAATTGTTACCAGCAGGTGCAGTTTCACTAGATAGTTCTGCCTGGCGATGCCTGTCAGGAAAACATATGAGGCTTGGTTAAATGTAATTTTACACACCATTAAAATTTGTCCTTGTCTCTTATTGCTAAGTGTTGGTAGCACAGTCTGCTTGGCCATAATATATTCATGGATCAGAGATTTAAGATTTGTGGTATTAAATAATTTGTGGTATTTATAACAGCCACAAACACGCCTACATGAGTCTATCAGAAATGTCCAGTACTGTCAGAGTAAGTCAGACACCACCTTTGATTTACTTACTTTCCAGTCAAAACAGCCATTGCTATTCATTTTTCAATGCTAGAAAAAAGAGAAGAAATATATGTAGTCGAAAAGAACACCAAAGCCTCAAGAACGAAATAAATCACAAAATGTTTTCAGCTTTTACTGTGTCCACACTTTGCCATTGTTTTTAGAGACTTGCGTTCAGTTTTTTTCCTGAAGTGTTTTTCCACATTTCCAAAGTTCTTAGACATTGGTTGCATTTTCTGTTCTGGGGTGGTCAGTCCATTGTTCTGAGAAAACCGGCAGCTATGTAACAGCTTCTTGACAGCTATACATCCTTTCACACCCATAGTGTTGAGTTGTCTTCTTACAGTGGAAGGATGGACAGAAAAAACACTGGGTTTTTGCAGATCTGAAGCAAGAATGAAGCTTGATTCTTTCTGAAAGGTGAAAGCTTTAAGCACTGTTTATGATGGTGATAGTCTACAAGGTCTTGCATGATTGTTAGAAGTCCCGTTTTTTAATAATTTTTTATTTTAAATGTAGTTCTTTCACTTCTTTCACTTCTATTTTGTCACTTATTTTCATTTGACTTTCCTTATGCAAGTGCTTTAACTTATAGCTAATCTCCTCAGAAATATCTCCTAACGTACTTAATGGCTATTTTGGCTGGAACTAAATAAATCAAGACTTTGTTGAGAATTTTAAATGTTCAAAATGTTCCTTTTTCTATGATAAATACAGACACATAAGGTTTACTGGGTAACTTCAACTTTTAATGATCTGTCTTGCTTCATTATAGTAATATAATATATATTTGAGTGGTTCAGTATGTTAAAGCTGAATTTTGCAGAAATGTTTATATAGCTGTGAACGATCAAGAGAATTGTTGGAGGAAGTATTTTGTGAAACGTCCACTGTGCTTCAAAATCCAGGAACCAGAAGTGTTTCTGAATGACCTACATTTTAAATGGCTATGTGGGGAAGACATGCGTCATACAGAAAGAGCTTTTACACAAACATCATTGCAAACCTATCATTACATTATAAACATAATATATAACATTGGCACTTTTATAATAAACCTTATACCTTTAACAAAATCAGAGCTTTTCAGAGTGTCCTGATGGGGGCTTTACATGTAAATAGTATTCAAACCTTACACTGCAAACATATTCACGATTTAGGGATATTGACAGAACAAATACAGAAGTAGCTCACTTCATCCTTTCTTTTGCAGTGGCTGAGAAAGAGCTGGATGATCTGAATAAATGGAAGGAGGCACATCGGCCTGGCCCCGTTCACTTGGCCCCGGAGAAGCTAGGTATTATGGAGATGTATGACAAATATCCTCTGATCTGCTAAAACAGACACAAAAATCAAAGTGAAAGACGTCCGAGAGCCTGCTAATGTATTCCCTCTCATAGGTGGCAGTGTATCCTTGGCAGAGGTCAGACAGAGACAGCAGGTGGAGGCCCGCCAATCAAAACTCCAAAAGAAGGTTTCGACTTTCTGTTTAAAACAGATATTCATTCTCTAAAGACCGTGCACTCAGGCGTGCTTATATTGTACCACATTGTTATGTTCTGTAGCTCAAAAGAGAAGACATGGACAGAATCAGAAAACAGGCAGAAGAAGAAGAGAATCAGAGGAAGAAGGCCATTCAAAGGGAGAAGGTCTGACATGATGGCAAACTGACATTCTGTATTTTCTACAATGTTCTTATTTGCTTAGATATAGTAAATTCTAAACCTATGAAATCATTGGTATTGGTAATTTAAAGCTGTTGCTTTGTTACATCTTTGTAGTTTCACTTTAAAACTCTAGATGTCACTGCAGGCACCTGTCACATTCAAGTCATCAAGTGCACTGCAATTAAATCAGATCAAACTTTGGACCTCTATGTAGACATGAGGAGGTTTGCTGATTAATGAGTCCAGTTATATTAGAAGCCACAGACAGCGGTAATTCATTTTGTCACACATGCTCTGGTGACTGCTTGGCTGTTCACTTACTGCGATAGTGATTTATATCAGTAGCTGATGAAAATATTTTAAAGTAAATCCTTCTTCACCCTCCAATTTGTATTTTGTGCGAAAGTGACATTATATGATACTTTCTAGTCAAGACTGCATAAATATATGCTGGCAATAGTTCTACGTGTTCATAAGAATAGAGACCTTACTGTTAAGCACTAATAAGTGTCTGAATTGCATTGCAGGCCAATAACCTAGAGTTGAGGAAAAGGCAGGAGGAGGAACAGAGAAAGGAGCTGTACCAACATGATCTACGAATGTATGTTCACATATTTTCATTAGACATTGCCAGATCCCCCATGGTGTTAAGAATGCAGTGCTCAGTTATTAGAAGGAAGCTGGCTGCTGTAGCTCGATTGGCTCAAATCCAAAAATAACAAACCTGAGAACACAGTTTCATGGCACCACAACAGCATTTTTCCATTACAGTTGCTACAGTTGAAGAGGTAACACTGATGCAGGAGCAGTATGAGTGCAGGACGCTGGAGCCGACTGGAAAACCAAAAGAGGTCGACAATATCAATGACGTGAAAGTCCTGAGCTGCCAAACTAAACCAATCATCCACTGCCAGTGTGTTTATTTATAGCTACTGTCACCAGATGATATTTTGAACTGTTCTGTTGTTGTTGGATGTGGTATTAAATTAGTTCCTAACGGTTATGTCAGTAATTAACCAAAATTCAATTAAATGGTACACCTAATGAATTAATACAAACAAATGAAGTACAGTATTAATGGATAATTGTCATTTACATGCAAGCTTACTATTTATAGTAGGGCTGGCCCAAATAATTTGAATATTGGGGTAACGTTATTTGTTGGTTATGTTGTGTCATTATTTACTGTCCAGAAGCTTCATTTTTTGTTAACCCTTTAGACTCCCTGAGGAATTCTAGAACACTCTTGTGGATTAATGATAATTTCATAAGTTACACTGTCAGAAAAAAAGGTGCTGAATCTGTCACTGGGGCAGTACCCTGGGTGGTACCCTTTAATCAGGGAACATAATTGTACCGTAATCAATTGAAATTATATTTTCTAAGTTGTATTGACTCCACACACCCCGTCTCGTCTCCAGGCTTTTTATTACATTGTTCTGTTTTAAAACTTTAGGTTATGAAAAGGTACAAATATGTACTTTTTACCTGGGAAAAACTTAATTAAAGTACACAACTGGACCTTAGAACCACTGTTTTTACATTTGCATTGTTTGTACCTGCATAGTACCTTTATTTCTAACAGTGTAGAGACTTAGAAGTCAATATAATCTATTTAATCATAAAACAAGAAGAACGTGGCAATTACTGGATGGTATATCAGGCTATAAAAAATTGTTTGATTATAGTTTTGAATGTTGAAGGACATTCAGGTGAAGAAGCTGAGTGTGTGCTAACCCACCACAGAGCCAAGAGACAGAGACAAACAGAGATAGTGGGCTAGCTAATCGCTGATTCCTGTAAGATATAAACGACCATAAATCTACACCAATGTAGTTTTACACAGAGAAATAACTTGCTGAATCTTGAGTCCTGAATAAGATTTATGTGTGTCTATCAAAGTTATTTCACACACGACCACCAAAATGTCTTATTTACTAGTGGGAAGCTCAGATTTTTTGTTGAGCCCCAAGTTTCCGAGTTGGTTATTCACCAGCCACATATGAACATTATAAGCTAAAATCTACGCATAAAAATACAAAGGTAAACACGTGATGCTTCTAACTGGATAAAAGCATTCATCTCATAAGCATCCTCATGAAAATGAAAAGAATTCTCTTCAGTGGCAGAAGAACAAAAGAAAACTACATTACTTCCAGTGCACCTCTCTTGTTTCTGACCAAAACCACTTGAACACAAAAGTTGTATATACGACCTTCAAAGTTGTCACTTCAGAGGACAACCTGAAGGCAGCAAAGCAGCAGGTCATACAAGACCAGACTCCTCTCTCTCTGAATAGATAGTGACCTAAAAACCCAGAACAGAAAGCCAACATACAATTTTAAAAAACATATTTAAGATCACTGGTGAAATCTGCAGGGTCTCCCGCTTGCGGCTTTACCAGCAAGCCAACTGTCTCTTTTGGTTGAAGGACGGGACTTTCCCCATAAACAGATGTCATGTTGAGAGCTTTTCAATTCATTTTCCAACTAGTGTTGTCCTGCCTCCTCCTTCATAATTTCTCTGCATTACAGCATCTTTGTCTCTTGGCCTCTTTGGGACATCTGTCATAAGAAGAGATGTGTAAATGTATAATACTATTTGTGAAAACTGGAATATTTTGATTAATCTAAAATGAATGAAAAAACTGTGGTTAATTCATTAGTTATAGTTAATTATGAAATGTTCTACGGATAATAGATAGTATTGAGAATGAGTACTTGTTCTGAAAAACACAAAGTATTCAAAGCCTGTATAATGCTGTTTGGGTCAGCCCTAATGTATAGCTATAATCATTAATGTGACTTTACATTCTGCAGGAGAAGAGAAGAACAACTTCAAAGGCTGGAGAGGTCCAGCTCAGTTCCTATGGCAGCGAGCAACTCCACACCAGCGTCATCTTGGGTAAGATGGCAGCCAAAGAATGCAGTGTGTGCTCCGTAGGCCCGAGTTCAAGCCTTCGCAGCATAGCTGCGGCACTGAGGTTAAAGCCTGAGGCACTGGGGTAATTCACACCAATTGATCTGTCTTTGATACATATTTTCTGAGTAAACACACCCCGCACTGAGGCTTTCATCAACATGGTGCATTTTAGTGCAGAAGAGAGGCAGCCTACTGAGGGGTTCAGCCCCACTCCCCCCAATTATCTCCTTATTACCCTCACGCTAGAGAGAGCTATCTGAGCACATGATTGAATTTTCCCAAATATAAATACACAGGCTTTCTCTTCATGACCAGCCAGTGCAAGGATGCAAGCGCTGCTTCTGCACAGCGAGGCAAGCAGAGTTCAGGGGACTTCCCAGAGTTCATATCGAGCCTGTCTCACAGAGAGCACAGAAGGATGTGTGAGAGCTCAGGAAAAGGACAGACAGACTGGTGTGGAATAACCTGCATTGTTCTAGTGAAAGTACCTGGACAGAAGCCAGAGTCTGAACCAATGGCACAGGCAGTCTCAAAGGATATAATTGGAGGTGTCAGTCACTGAGTCACTATAATTGCATCACTGTCACTTTAGCAGTAAATATGTGTCGAAATATGTATCGCGCAACTGCCTTAGGAAACAACAAACAAAATGGAAGTCTTTTTTTTTAATTACAAAATGACCTTGATTTTGCCATCAGAGTACTAGATTCTTCCATGGAACCGACATGTTGGAAAAAATTAACTGTAAAATCTGCAAGAATACAGTATTTTTGTTAGTCGTTTTGATTTAAGTCTGTGCCTCGGCAGGCCGGGGATGATTCTACAGACAGGAGACTGGAGTGACCATGGGAAGCTTGAAGCCTGGCTGTCTTACTATATGAACCACTTTATGTGGCATTTGACAGCATTGTTAACATTGCATTCCCAGGTCCTGCGGTGAGCTAAGAAATGTTTTCGTGTGGCTTACTGCGTTGTTGTTCTTGTTCATTTTCTCTGGACGTCCAGGACTTCCCTCTGTATGTCGATGGAGGAAAATCCCTCCACTCTAGACATATAATGCATTTTGTGCAGGCGTGCTGCAAAGAGGCACAAGTTTTAGAGTGCTGCAAAGTGCTCTGGTCCTGTCAGTTTATGAGGAGAGGGAGGCCTTTTTTGATTGTGCTTCTCAGCGTATTGATTTAAATGTCTGGAGGCCCTCCAGGCAAAGTAATGAAATGCTCCAACCTAAATGTCGTAGGCCTGCCGATCAAAGTGTTTGTGGAAAGGCAGAGTATTGATGTGGTTTTGTGGCCACTGAGAATTGTTATGCTTTCAGTGATGGTTCCCCAAGACAGATTAATCTCCTCCATATCCTCTGTTTGTGCAAAGGATCCTTTGTGTTGGCTTCCCAGGGTGCCAGGCCCAGGTCGTCCCACCTATTCCCCTTGCTCTCGGGCCATTCCAAACAATGCAGCCCTTGCCCGGTGTCCCCAGGCCGTCTGACCAAACACACAAAGGATCTCTTCATCTCGCTAGCTCTCTCTGGCCTCACCCCTCCTCACAGCGCCTCATTGTACAATGCCTTGAGAATCCCACAATTACATCATGAAAAGAACAGCTAACACCCATCTGACTGTACAGTACCAGACTGAGCTGTGTGGTCGAGTCACCTGCAGTGGGGGGTAGGTCTGTCCTCACTCATGCTGTGACCTCTCTTCACAGGCTCAAGGGCGTGAGTACAAGGAGGCCAGGAAGGCTGAGGAGCAGGATGCACTGGAGCAGATGAAAGAACAGCAGCGGAGAAAGGTGCCACACACTACAAACCAAACAGCTGCCCTTTAAAACATCACCTGCACTGCTAGTTCACAGCAGTGCTAATAAAACTCTGGACCACACCCAAGAAAAAAACACTGGCCTGGCTTGTTCGGCATCAGCATGTGCTCTTGATTACAGTGTTGTAGGTTATAGGATGTAGTAATGGGTGAAATAGTGTAAGGATTTTCCAGCTGGCTATAAAGCGATATTCCTGCGGCTTTGACTGTTCCCATGTTGGTCAAATATAAATTTTATTCAGTGATATTGATCAAGCACTGAAAGGTCCATATGGCTATAATGTGGTTCAGATTGTTCTTTGTATATCAACTGTGTAATTACACTGTTGCGGCATTGTAATTAGTTGATAAACAACTGCTTTCAGGTCTGTTAGGCAGTGTTGTACAATTAGGTAGAAGTTCATATCAAGGATTAACCTTCCATTAACATATCATTTCCAGAGTGAAATTCTGGAGAAAAAACAAAAACAACAGGAGGAGGACAGGAAGAGGCGAATGGAAAGTGAATGTCTGCGGTATGGACACCTAATTCTGAAAGAACTTTACCAAGCCATGAATGTCAGGGTTAATTACCAATTTGTAGAAACATGAACAGCTTCAAAATAACACTGATGTATTGGTCAGTCTGAAAGGTGGTTATGAGGTAGTGATATATGGCTTCCTCCAGGGTGAACTCGGCCTTTCTAGACAGACTGGAGGCGAGAGGATCAGGTAGAGTGTCTGAGTCCAACTCCTGCATCCCAGAGGGTGGTAACATCTGGCAGACGGAGGAACCACAGGACCCTGCCTCATCCCCGGTGCCCTTCCCATCACAGGTCCACACTGACAGTGCAGAGGAGGAGGAGGAGGGTGAGCCAGATTTATGTGCTAGCCATTATGTGTGTTTAGTCTTAGGCCTTTCAAAGTACTTCTGTAATTGTTTCCATTGCAGCGTCTTCTCTCATCAAAAAGTAATTTGTCTTTGTGTGTGATTGATATTATGCAGAGCTCTGCCGTCCCATCCCCAGTAGTCAGGCACCATAAGACAGTGTAGGGTATTATGTAAATAAAAGTAAGCCTCTAAATCCTCCTCGTGCGACAGAAATGCAGTGCATTCAGACGCTGTCTTAGGGCTCCAGAGGCCATGAAGGCACAACAAAGCTAATTAGGTGCACCCACTGAGAGAGAAAGAGGCCATTTCACTGACAGCAAACTGCATGTTTGACAGTGGTTTGACTCGCGTCCAAAATGCATGCCAAGATCATCTGCACCATAAAACATGAGTTATTGACATGCCTTCTTGCATTGAAGTATGATTAGTCTCATGTCTAAATGCTTTTATAGGAGTCATTACTGGAAAAACCGGTGAGCTGGTGAGTCTGGTTGCTCTGTTCTTACTTGTAGACATGCACTCTTCAAACTCGCTACATTCAAGACCAGCATCGTTAAAGCCAGGTTTCAGAACCTAAAGTCTAGAACCTGTCTTCAGGACCAGACAAATAACAAAAGTTAGTCTTTCTAAATTGAAAATGGATTAATATGAAAAACACCAGTAGATAAGCATGTTGTTTTTACTTGTGATGGTTTTAATGTAAATAAGGATATATCCTGAATGACCTGTTGTTATTCACATATATTCTTTAACTAGGTGAACATTCGCTGGGGAATCCTTAACTTTGCTTCTTCCAAAGCCTTAGATTGAGAGATGATTTATAGCTTGATTCAGTGACTGGCCTTAGCCAAAAACTGTGTCCACATTTGAAAATTCCTCCCTCTTTTTGCCAAGAGGGATGGCTCGAGCTGTCTTTTCCGTGAGCTAGCAGTGTTTACGGAGTTCATGCCGCATGACGGAGCAGGATTAATGTGCTATTCACCTTGTGTCTGTCTGCAGTGTTTCTAAGATACTTAATGATACATTACATGGGCATGTTCTGCCTCAGCTACATTTGAATCACTGTGAGGACGCTGACCCTCATCCTTAGCCGTGGTTTGGGGTTAGCCGGGTCCTCCTATTCTCAAACTCTCAGCTCTGCCTCTGATTGCTAGAGACATTCAATACAAACCTCGCTTAGAGCCAAGAGTGTCCCAGGCTGCCTCTCAGCTGGCTGTGGTCTGCTTCAGCTCAGTGCCGTGCTCATGGCAGTGATGGCCCTGGCTGGAGTGGCTCGTAAAGGTCCTGGACATCTGGTGCTCATGCAGTACAGCTCAGACACAGCACATAGCCCGCCTATGAGGTTCTGACGTGTGCTTCCGTTGGGCTCCTGAGCCATGCTTGTTCTATCTGTCTCAATTATTACAGTGATTAAGCCCTCAGCATGTCACCGCTTGCCTTATTCAATTTCCTCCTTGGTGCCTCTGCAAAAGCCCAGCCTGCCCGGCGCTGCTCCTGCTGGGACTAGAGCTGTACGGATGGGACATGCGTCTGCCACAGGACTTGTTTTGCCCATTAGCATGTGGTTAGAGGACCAGGATGGCACTGTTTGCGGAACAGGGCTGGCAGGAGCGCTGCGGTTTAAACAAGCCTTCCCACCCAGTCTGTACTCTTACATGAACTAGATGAACCAGCAGGGAGATTCACTTATGCATTCAGCAGCTAAGCCTCAGCCTCAGTTTGGGATTGGATAGAATGGGATGGGATGGCATGTGTGTTTTCCCATGCTATGCCATTCTTTACTTTCTCCTCATCACCTTTCATTTTCAGTGCCACTTTGCAAAAACTTGTTCTGTGTTATTCTAAGTGATTCGTTCTTTGTGTTTTTCTTGTAGATACTGACTATGAATGGACTGTTATGAGGCTTCAAAGTAACTTCCCTTACTATAAGCGAGAACTCCTGGAAGACATTGTTTCTCAGTGTAATGGCAATTATCAGCGAGCTTACGATCTACTCAATGTTTAAATGAGAACATACTTGGTTCAACCCTATGAACAAGGAGTAAAAGACAAAAATAATATAACGCTGCATTAGCCCTACATGGGTGGGTTTCAAGGAAAGATCAAAACAATAAATGCACGTTACAATAAATTCCCTGTCACTGTTTCCTTCTTCTTCTGAATTACAGCTACAATAAACCTTCCTGTTAAGTAAACTAGCTGAACAGGCCAGGCGTATCATTCTCTTGTTTCAGTTATGAAAGTTAGTAGTGTTGTCTGAGATTTTAAAAACTGGGGTGGGTAGATGAAAGTAACTGATATGAAATTACTCATTCAGTTCAAATAAAAAAAAAATGTTCATGTCCAAGCCCTGATTTATTATGCTGTGAATGACAAGCTCAAATTTTGCCACCGTCATAGGAAGGAACAGACATGCAGTAAACAGAATACAGATCTCTGGCCACATGAGTATTGTGCTGGATCCTTCTGTGCTTTGCGGAAATTCACCGCTTCAGCCTTTGTTTGTGTGAAATCCAGCAGATGTAATCATGAGGAAATGGAAATGCGGCTTCATCTGACACCAAAAGGGGAAGAGTGCAGGTGCATGTGTGTGGCCAAAAGTCAGTGCGGGTTCTGATCCAAACATTACATCCTGCAGCACCGGGCTTTCCCAGGGCTTCAAAGTTAATGGGACATGAACGCTAAAGCCTTTTCTCCCTGCTCAGAGAGGCAAACACTACAAAGACCGGTGTGCTAGGTTCAGAAAGCTGCCTTGTGTGATCACTAGTAATATTGCACCCACCCATGTTGACATTGAATCAAGATTAATCATGGGTGAATACAGGAAGGGTTGAATTTGCACTTCTTATGTTCATGTATCCCCTATTAAATAGGCCATTTCCTCTGATAGCCTGTTTGGCTTTTGATCTGTGAGTGCGTGAGAGAGAGAGAGAGAGAGAGAGAGAGAGAGAAAGAGAGAGAGAGAGAGAGAGAGAGATGATGATGTAGAGAAATGAATGTAAAAGAGGGGTTTTCCAAAGTGTTTCGAACCTACAGAAGGGAAATTAATGAGTTATTTCTGAGGAATTTGAGTTACGCATTTAACACATGATAAGAAATGTTTGTAGGGCAAAACAGCACCTGATTCACAGAAAGACTCGTTCCAAAGGGTCAAACTACGCAACTTGAACAGCCAACGTTCTGCATCCACAAGAAATGTACAGGACCCAGATTAACTCAGATGCAGTAAGGGGGATTTCCTGTGGTTCCTCCCCTGAATTAGGTCACTGTATTACCCATATCACAGAAGAATTTTGGGGAAAAATAATAAAAACTACAGACAGTTTTAAACCACTGAATACACCCTGCAGATCTGGAGGCTATTATCCTTTGGTGTCAAAGACAAAATATATTGATTCTTTACAAAACTACTCCATTAGATTTTTGTTTGACCCTCATCCAAACGTGGTGGAGGCAAAAGGTCAAACTGTGCACTATGAGTAACACATTTGTTGCAGTATTTTTTGAAAATCATCTGAACTGAAAAAAGGGTAATGAAATACAGCCTTGCCTTCCACAAACAAAATGTGACTGAAAAGATTACCCAGCTTTGAATTCCCAATGTCTATAAAGGATTCAGTTTTATTACAGAGGACTGTGACATTTTTCCACTCAGACTTTACACACTGGGCGTCCTGTTTCCTCACAGCTATCTCGCCTTGTCGGAATGGAAGGATATTTCAGGCCAATGGAGGACCTTAATGTGAACTAAGGAAGCATGCCATTCGCAGGACCATAGCACGCAGAAATCTCCACACTCGACCACAACTGAGTCACTATACTTCCTGGGGAAAATCGGCTCCACGAAAGAGAGGCCATGGAGGCACGCCTTGGCTGTTGGTGAACAGTGCTGACAGTCTGCTAAGCTTTTGCACTAACACTCTCTCACACAAACACCCACACAAGCAAACAAATTTACCAAGGACAGAACAAACACATTCACAAGCACTAGAATACGTTCTACCAGAGACAACCTTATACTGATCTAAAGAACCATTCAAAACTTCATATTCTATCTGCTCAGGCTTGGTGCCTTCACAAAAATGTAAGTCATGTATGCAACATTAGGCATGGGCAGGGTGTGTTGTCTTACAAAGTATCAAAGCATTTTTGCAAGCAACCAAAGAACAAAGCACGAATGATTTGTTCCTGACAATTGCTCATCAATTCCACTTCATATGCAGCACAAATGGTCTGTAGTATACATACTACAGTATAATAAACTGCAGATGGTCTTTGGTGTGAAATGACATTTTATTCTCAATTCTCTCACTTTTAAAAGTCATAAAGAATCATATACAGTACTGTGCAAATTCTGAGATGACCATTTTATTCATTTAATTTCCAGTCAAAATGGCCAGTGAGTACTCACTATTAACAAAGCAGCCTCAAATTTTCTTCAATATGTAGTGAGTCCAACCTTTGCCTTTGTTACAGTTTCTATTCTTTTCAGTAGACATGATTCAGTTTTTCTTAGAAATCTGCAGGAACATTTTCCATGCTTCTTGTAAACACCTCCAAAGAAGTTGAAATCTTCGAAGTTGGTTGCATTTTCTGCTTCTCACGATCCAAGTAATCCCACACACTTTTATGGTGTTGTGGTCTGGACCCTGCCCAGTTTCGGTGTTCTAAGGCAGGGGTTCTCAATCCCAGTTTTGGCAACCCCACATTATGCACATTTTGTTCTCATTGAGTACACCTGATTCAACCCATTAGCTAATAAACAAGCTCCTTACTTGTTGGGTCAGGTGTGTTAGAGTAGAGACAACACAAAAAAAGTGCAAAGCATGGCAGCCCAAGGACTGGATTGGGGACCTCTGATCTGAAGCAAGAGTGGAGCTTGATTTTCTCCTTTCACAGAACTGTATATTGTCACTGTCAGGAAAAAACAGTTGCATCTTCAAAATGGAAAGAACGTCTGAATGTAAAAAAATGTAAATTTGGATCATTTCTGTATGTCCTTTCGTTTTTTATACAATTTAAAGCTGGAAATTAAAAAAAAAAGAAAAAAATCAAGTCATATATATATATATATATATATATATATATATATAAACACACACACAGCAGAGTACACTGTGCTCCTACACTCCACAAAACACTTAAACATGGAAAAAGCTGGAGCGGCTTCAGCAGTGATGATACGACAGATCTCATACCACATGCTTATGCTGTCATGGTGGTGTGAAGCCAAAACACAGTACGCTGGTTGGAAATCTGTCACCGGCCTGGCTTGCTTGCCATGAGAGTGTTTGAGGAAAGACTGAGAGGTGATGAGTTCCCTGGACTCCAGTACAACTGTCTCACTCTGTCCTTATAGGACCTCCCCCTTCCATGAAGAGAGGCATAGAGTGGGATGCTGACGCCACGCAAAGTCCCTCACAGCCTGTGTGATTTAACACTCTAATTACCACTAATCTTATTTTGCCAGAAAGGTTTTTTATCTTAACCATTCCCCCACCAAGGGCTGGCCTCATTCCAGCCTAAAGTTGCTCTACATGGAACCTGCACAGCTGCAAGACAAGAAAAATATTTGCTTTCTCTGGTCTGGCACTGGCTCAAAACCCAAGGCCATAGCAAAGCAATAAAGCTGCCTGCTTAGAAAACTCTCTGCTTATACCCACGGTTTGGTTCTCCAGCAACCCTCTTTGGAAAACAGTGCTCCTCAGACTCTTGCTGTGGATTCTCACGGGTAGCAGTAGCTGTCAGCCCAGATGAACTTCCTCTGCCCTGGGTCTCCTCGTCACTCGAACCTGACCAACCTCCCTTGCTCATACGTCCAGAGACGACACCCTAGCCTTCCTTCCATGGAGCACAAAGGGGCACCCCATGCAAGAAACCACTAATGCACGCTTCTGTGGCTGCTGTGCGATGGACAGAGCATGCTGCTAGCTGCTAATTAAAGGCCGTGGCAGTGCTGGAGACCAAGCATCAACAGTTTCTCATTCGTCTGCAGAGTTGCGCTGTCAGTGGCTGTCTCATATTCAGAGCGGATTACTGGATGATAGGTTTGCACGATGACTTGCTTTGTTTGGGCTCACAATTTATGGCAAAGTTTCGCAGTGGTCATTTGTCATCAAAACAAATAAGTGATGCTGGATTATTTTCAGGGATAGTGTAGAACATGTTGCTAAAACAGAAGAACCTTCCTTTGTGTATTCTGTTTTCTGTTCTGAATTACAAGAGCTAACATTACACAGTTGGTAAATTGTAACATAAAACATCCCTATTGCTCGAAGACATGTAGGAAATTGTTAGAGGAAAAATAAGAATAATACAAACAACTGCAATGAACCCAACAACAGAGGTCAGTTCGGTTTTACAAAAACATTCCACCAAATAAACTCAGTGACTTAATTTAGAAGTTGCACAGGACAAAAGCCCTGACCATGCTGTGGTCTTCTGTCTCAGTAATATCCTCAATGATGCATCTGAACTCCCAGCAGTATCCCAGTTTATTCACAGCGTAATCAGTTCAGGAGCCTGGGGGAGGCCTTTGACCAGCAGACAGTCAGGCCACTTTCACAACACTGATTCCACTGTAGCGAGTTCTTGCGTAAAGTCCAATTTCAAGCAATTGTGGTATTCTACCAAAGTGGGTCTCTGAAGACCAAAGCGCTCCAGCTATACTGTACAAAGAAAACGATGGTTTTGATTCAACCAAATACCCTTCATTAATTTGAAATAAATCAAATATAGGAAAATGCCGTACATGTTTTAGTGGTAAAGCAATATTTAGGAAAGGGATCACAACGGGAAAAGAAAACAGATATAAAAAAGCTTGTGCAACTACTCACTGTCCTCTTTGCCATATATGTATTACTATATGTGTATGTCATGTATGTCTGAATTGTTTTAACATAATCCTCTTTCTTCAGGTCTGCTGTCATGTACTGTAAGAGTTTTGAGGAGGTGTTGAACTTTGAGCACTGACCGTAATAAGCACATCTAAACAAGTCAGACAGTTCCTAGCAGGCATGCAGAGCAGCCCACAGAGTACCCAGCGAGGATCAAGCTGTCAAGTCAAGCACTTTATTTTCCACTGACTCTTTGCAAAGATTGTGCTAACTTAAACAGCAGTGCGCAAACACTGCTCTGTACCAACAAATGTTACATTAATTAGGTGGGGAAGTGTTGTGTAAACCGATCTTGTCTCCTGCCTCGTGTATTCTGAGATTAAAAGTCTTTATGGTGGCTCTATTACAGTATTTACCACACAGTATGTGTTGGGATGAGATAAAGTGAAGACGGCAGAACTTGGCAGATGGATTCGCAGACTTTTAGAAAGGATAACAGAAGTAAATATGTGGACAAGAAACATACAAGAATGGCACCAACTGTGTGGCTTTGAACATGTTATTGTAACTTGTTTCTTGAGTTATGGCATATGGCGGAGAGACATCCCATTCATGTTACTCCTGACAGCAGTTATGGCTGTTTTGGAGCACCGCTGGCCACTCCCTAGAAAGTAAGCAGTCGTTGGACTAATGCAAGAGAATGTTGTCATGTCTGTGTTTATAGTCTGCCTTTTGATTCCTGAAGCAATTACACAAATCATTAGATTAATGTCTAATATTTATTCTCAGAAACCATACTTCAAGCGTTCCCACTACATTTCTCAGCTATCACATGACTGCTGATGAAATAGCTCCCTTTTACATGGAGGGGATCTGTTGATCTGTTGACATGTCCAGGACCTTTGTGGTGCAAAAATGAATAGTCAAAAAAATCAAATGTACACAATTTTCTGTTGTTGACCAGCCAGGACGTTTGCCGTCCAAATTTTGCTTCATTAGTTAGCGTTGGAGCCACTAGGCTAACAAGAGAAGTCAAAAGACACCCATTTTATGTAAACTCTAAGGATGTGCATTCTGTCTAATTTTGATATTCGAGTATCCACAAAAGTTAATGAACAGGTATCTGGTTAACCACAGGTTAGTACTTAAGCTGAAATTAACAAAGGGCTGGTGCTGGAGGCTTTTACTCTTTTAGTTAATATCTCTGGGTTAAGAGGCTAAAACGGGGATATATATTTGAAAAAAGTGTATTATTTAAAAAGCTGAGTAACCTAGTTTTCGTGTTGGATGAGTAACGTTAACAGAGGCTGCCTCTTCAGATGAGAACTGTCACAACACTGGATGTTGATGAGGACTCGCCCTCTTACATAATGTATTTTCTCCTCGGTGGATGATGTGCCAACATGTTAGTTTCTCAGAGAAATATGTGTCTACTGTTTCTGGACCTCGCTAGACTTCAGCTAGAGTAGTTAGCCTTGTTAGAAAAAAAGCCACGCTACAGCTGTCTTCTCAATCACATCCTGAACAACATGCTCCGCCTCCCGTGCTTGGAGAGGCACAGTGTAATATACATACTTACTCACAAACACAGACAAAAGCATAGCATTTTACAGCCTTGTTAAAACATAACAGTAATTGTCAGTCTATATTTTTAACATCTTACTGAGATGAAGCCGAACGAGTACCCACATAGTTAGTTATATAAATAGTACTCACAAAACAGAACCTGTCAGAAGTGGTTTTGCAAGCAGTATGACTTACTGTTAAAAAACAATGAAATACATTCACTTCACTGTGTAGCTCAGTGCTGTAGTCGGCCATTTTAGGCAACAGGTGTGTCGAATTCTAAATCCCCCTTATGTGCATGTATGTCATGCAGGAATATGGATACCATAGATTATGTTCACAAGTTATGTTGTTTCTATCTATATTTAACCGCTAATCTTTATTTTATGAACTGATACGTTAAAAATGTATAAGTTCACATAGGTATAAAAAATATAGGCCACAGTAAATCTACCTGCATCCTTAACCGACAAGATCTGCGGTTTGAGCAAGTTGAGAGAAGTTTTGGGATGTATTTACGGAAGGAGTGGGTGTCTTTTGACTTTTAATGTTTGATAGCTAAGATTAGCCTTGTAGATCCAGTGTCAAAGTAAAGAAGCAAAATTTGTACACCAAACGTCTTGGCTAATCGAGGACATCGGAGTAGGTGGGAAATTTTGAAAATTTGATTTATATATTTTTACCAAATCATTCCTTTAACCAGAATG